AAATGGCTGATAACCGAGCACCAAAAACCCCGCCGATAACCGAGTTGGCCGATAACCAAACCGGCCGATAACCAGGGGTCCACTGCATATGGATTAATGAAAATGTGTATATTAACGTAATGTACGACATTTAACGAGACTCAGTGATTATTATTGAGTATTATTATCATTACTAATATGGCGTCTTGAGACATAAAATACTCTTACTTATTTTAATGTGTACCTGCACGACAACACAGTAAGTTTATTTAGGTACAGGTATACATAAGTATAATTATCAGAGTATATATAAAATATGAAATAACTTTTAACCCTTAAACTGTCCAAGCAGATTTACGTTCACATGTGTAGTGCTCCAAAAGTAGATCTATGTTTTTTTTTACATATTTTCAAATATAAAAAAAAAAAAAAATCCAAGTTTTTTTTTACATGCTTTCAAATGTTGAAAAAATGTAGATCTACGTTTGGACAGTTTAACCCGTTGAGGGTCACCAGGTCCTCTCAGAGACTTGTTCTCAGCATCGCAAAAAAAAAAAAAAAAAAAAAAAAAAAAAAAAAAAAAAAAATACGAAAAGATAGAGAATCTTTTCCCGATCACAATGACACCAAAAGTATGAAATTTTATGGAAAACTTACGGAATTATGCTCACGTGAAGTTAGCAGTCTCGATGATGTTTATGCATCGGCGATTTTGCCCACTTTGTGCCCTATTTTCGGCAAATTCCAGTGTACTAGTCGACAAAAATCATAACTATTTCACTAGAACTCTATTTTTTCTATCGAATGCGTACAAGAAACCACCCATTTACCAATTTCAACTATCCAATAAAGTGGTCAGAATTTAGCAATTTTGCCAATTTCACACAAATTTCAAAAGAGGCCAATTTCCAAATAGGGTCCAGAATAAACAAGAAAGACATTCCTGGCACTAAAATAACATTTCCTCTGTTCATTATTCACATCCCCAGGCCCCTCTTACATTTCTTTTGCTTTCCACTTTGAATTTTTATTCTCACAAAAAATAGAACATTTACTGTTATGCAGACTACTGTATTAGTGTAGAAATGGTATAAATAATACCAGCGCACTTGTGAAAGAATGTCAGATTCACCAGTTGACGTGTATTGGACGCGTGGCATGATTTATTTACTTTTCAACTTTGGCAAAAATCAAACATTTCTGCTACTTTGAGCTCAATTTCAAGGTACTTCTCATTGTGAAACCAATCAAAATCATCTCAATTTCTGTAATATGTCTTCCATTCTATAAAATAAGACCAGGAAAACTAGAATACAACCATAAATACCATATCAAAATACACCGCAAATTCGGTTTTAAACCAAAAACACTGTCAAAGTTTTTTTTTTCTCATTACGCACTGTGTGCTGCAGGATTTTTTTTATACTACACACACTGACCACATAGACTCATTCTTTCATATGTAGGCCTACCAGCTTTTTCTTGCTAGATATGAGGGCGCAAGAATTTATGCGTACTAGTACGTCAAAAACCCTGACGCGTAAGCCGTACTAGTACGGCCGAAACCCCGAAAGGGTTAAGGGTTAAAAACTACTTGAAATTTTGGAGTTTCCAGACACAATGGAGAGATGTAGTGTTTACAGAGCTCAATGAGAATATAAACAAACTGGGTCTGGCACGGTGACCGTATTACAGTCAGGTGGGGGGAGCCGTATAGAGTTTTGGTCATAATTTGAAATGACCGTATTAGCGTAATGCCGTAAAGCAAAATGCCGTAAAGCGGGGCCCTACCGTATTTCAAACTACTTATAATACCTGAAACCGACCAAAATTATCTCTATTTCAATAGTATGTCTTCCCTTCTATCAACTGATATTGAGAAACAGCCAGTCACAATACAAGGCATAATACACTCTTTGACATCCCTCGTGTCAGTCTCACACCATGCAAAAACGTAATGCACATAAAGGGCCTGAAGATCTGGGATTCACTACCTGAACTGGTAAAGGATCCCCTGACTACTTATAAATTTAGGACTTTGCTTAAAAATCATCTCATCTTTCAGTACTAACCATATCAACCAAAACAACTTCTAATCAGTTATGTATTATATTATGTGACCTCCAGTCTTTTAAACATCTACCAATCCATGAAATATTACTGCTTGAATCATTAATTGTAATAATGTTTTTATTATGTGGAACTTCAAGATTAATATTCTTATACACCTCCACCCTGACTACCTTGCATTAGTTTTTTTTTTTTTCAACAAGTTGGCTGCCTCCTACCTAGGCAGGGTGACCCAAAAAGGAAGAAAATCCCCAAAACAAAAATACTTTCATCATCATTCAACACTTTCACCTCACTCATACATAATCACTGTCTTTGCAGAGGCACCCAGATACAACAGTTTAGAAGAATATATAAAGATACAATAAAAAAAGTGACCTGAAATAATAAGTATACAATATCAGGGCCCCAATTATATATATACAGTGGACCCTCGACTTACGATATTAATCCGTTCCTGAGAGCACATCGTAAGATGAAATCATCGTAAGTCAAATTAATTTTCCTCATAAGAAATAATGGAAATCAAATTAATCCGTTCAAGACATCCAAAAGTATGAAATTTTTTTTTTTTACCACACGAAATACTGTATACATTTTCCTATACACAAAAAGAAGGATACATGCACAATATATATTGTGCATGTACTAATGTACTAAATGAAGAATAAATGACACTTACCTTTATTAACGACGTAGTGATAAGACACTGTGTCCTGGGAGTGCCTTTTCCTCCTGAGTAATATAGGTCCTCTTTGGAATTTTCTTCCAGAACAGGCCTTATCACACTGCGTATGCCACTATGATTCTTAAATCTCTCAAACCAACCTTTGCTGGCCTTAAATTCACCAATATGAGAACTAGTTCCAGGCATTTTTTCCTGTTCACCTGGGTGTTAGTCGAATGGTGTGGGTTGCATCCTGGGGGACAAGGTTAAGGACCCCAATGGAAATAAGTTAGACAGTCCTCGATGACACACTAACTTTCTTGGGTTATCCTGGGTGGCTAACCCTCTGGGTTAATTGTTTCTCAGTATTCTCGATAAGCCACACCAATAACAGTCTCTCCACATCTTTGAGTAGTACAGCTGACTGTGGTGCAGCAGCAGCTGACCATGGTGCAGCAGTAGCTGACAGTGCTACAGCAGCATCAGCAGCTGACCATGGTGCAGCAGCAGCTGAAGGTGCTACAGCAGCAGCAGCAGCTGACCGTGGTGCAGCAGCAGCTGACGGTGCTACAGCAGCATCAGCTGACCGTGGTGCAGCAGCAGCTGACGGTGCTACAGCAGCAGCAGCAGCTGACCATGGTACGATAGTATTTCTCACCCTTTTTACCACAGGGCTGGCACTAGAAGCTTTCTTTGGGCCCATGGTGGCTTATATAGCAGTTGCAAGCACTAAAAACACTGGAATAATACAAAATTTATCGAATGTATGAGTTCAACTGTCCGCCTTGGCTTGTAAACAATGTCACAGTACCTCAGCTGAGGCGCTCAGGCCAGACGGACCAGACGGTCACGTTAGGGATGAATGATGCAAGTCGAGTTTTTCAACGTAGGTCGGGGTCAAATTTTTATGCTGACAAGCATCGTAAGTCGGTTTTAATGTAGGTTGAGGACATCGTAAGTCGGGGGTCCACTGTACTGTCCTATTACACATCCCACCAAATTGCCAATATCCCAAACCCCTCCTTTAAAGTGCAGGCATTGTACAGTGGTCCCTCGTTTTTCGTAATTAATCCGTTCCTGGAGGAGCTACTATAAACAAAATTTACGAGTTGCGAATCAATTTTCCCCATAAGAAATAATGTAAATACAATTAATCTGTTCCTGACACCCAGAAGTATTAAAACAAAAAAATTTTTTACATGAAATATATAGTACATAAACAATACAATGGGAAATGATGAATGAAACATTAACAGCATAACACTTACCTTTATTGGAGATTCTTCTTAGTGTATGGGAGACTGGAGGAGGAGAGAGATTGGATTGTTTACAGTTTGGAAGGGGAATCCCCTTCCAGCAACACCTCAGGTACCAATTGCTTCTCTGGGGTTGCTTCTCTTCTCTGTTTCTTAATGCCACTAGGACCACCTTGAGAGTCACTCTAGTCCTGTCTCGCAAAGTAACTGTAGAGAGAGCTCTGTTTCTGGCGTCTCTTTAACACTTCCCTAAAATGGCCCAAGACTTTGTCACTGTACATATTTCTCACCTTCTTTACCACAGGCTTGGCACTAGGAACTTTCTTTGGAGCCATGGTAGCTTATTTAGTAATTGCAAGCACTAAAATGAGTGGAATATTATGAAATATTTCGTAGGAGCACTTGAGGGGACCTTCACTCACTGGTAAACAATGCCAGACTGGCTGGGTAGGGAGGCCACCCCGGCTCACACCGTGCGTACGCGTCCTGGACGAAGTACTATTCGCGAGTCAACCTATGAAAAGCGAGTCCATGTTTATACGAAAATACTCCTATGATTGACGAAATCTACGATTGCCGAGAACTACGAAAAGCGAGGGACCACTGTACTTCCCATTCCAGAACTCAAGTCTGGCTATATAAAAATAACCGGTGTCCCTGAATCCCTTCACTAAATATTACCCTGCTCACACTCCAACAGTTCGTCAAGTCCCAAAAACCATTCGTCTCCATTCACTCCTATCTAACACATTCATGCACGCTTGCTGGAAGTCCAAGCCCCTCGCATTAGTATTAAGATTAAATAAGATTTTAATAAAGTTAACCACTATTATCTTGTCTAGTTTTAAGTAGTTACTATGTACTAGGATTAGTCTGCCCAAAATGCCCCAGCCTGATAGTGGCTGTCTTTGTACTTAGCAAACCATAATTCTAATTACACACTGTAACCTTTACAAAGGAATAAATCTATCTTCATCTATAATAAAGCTATTCTACAAAGCACTTCAAAGTCACCATTTTAAACCAACACAAGGTCAGGCAGGATTTTTTTATTCTGTACACAATCACTGTAGACTTTTTCTCTCAAAATTTACAGCTCACAGCTTATTTGAGGACACTCTCCTTAAAACATAAATCTACTTGAATGACAATAAAGCAGACCTATACAAGCAACAATAATGTACTTTTACATAAGAGACAATGAAAGGGTTAAAGTTTTTTATTTTTTGTAGGGAAGGGGGGTTAGGAAATCATCCCTTTTTTCCTTATATGTTATTAACACCATAAGTCACTATTTCTTAAGTAGTGTTGATTTCAGGAACCTAACCAGTGTGAATAATGAGAGGCCATTGTATATCTTCTTTGGCAGTTATTCAAGTATTAAGCAAAATCTGCAGGTCTTCATAGTTATGTTTTTTGTTAATGGATCTGAGGGGGTTGCTGGTTAGCTATGTGTTAGTCTTTGTAAACTAAAACAACTATATATGAACACTACTAAGGGTTGAGTAAATTTAACAAAACAATAAAAATAAAAAAAAAAAAGGAAGAAGTAATAAGTAAAATTTTTTGAGTAACTTACACCAGATGACACGGTCATTAAATCTTTCTCAAGTTCTGTAGGCTTCCACTGCTTCTCAAATGTCTGTGAAAGGAAAAACTGTGTGTAAGTTTAATGACATACATATAGGAAACAAATCTAAGTTTTGCATACTAGATCCTCACTATTATCCTTATTTGTAATGCATCTATAGTTATCTTTATAAACATGTTTCACACACTAGCTGACATAAATACAAGCCATATTCATGTTCACCTTGTTCCATTAACAACTCAGTGAGATGAAACAGTGTGCTAAGATTCATTGCTTTTGTGGCTGGTAAATAACAAAACTTTCCCTATTTACAAGAGGCATATTGTGAATTAGGCACCACTTTGTTTCTAATGGCTATTAATAGACACACTTCAGTCTGCCTTCACTGGATTTACTGGTCTCTGTATATGAACAATCTTGCCCTAGCTTGTGTTGGTACGGACATTCAGCCGGTGGCCACTTCATTATCTTACCTTTGATGGATTTTGAGTTTTCCTACTCTTGCAGCCCAGTTCCCTGCCCATCCAAGTTTGTCTGTTTAATCAAGCTGTTGCTGCTGGTGGCCTACTGGACCACCTATCCATCACAGCCTGATTGATCTGGTACTTGGTGGAGGTACCTGTCATGTTTCCTCTTGATGATTTCTACACTTGCCCAAGCAGTGTTTCTGGTAGAATGTTTAAAAAGTTTGGGTCCACAGATGTTAATACAGTGGACCCCCGCATAGCGAACGCCTTGCATAGCGAACAATCCGCATAGCGAACGCTTTGTTCGCTAAAATTTTGCCCCGCATAGTGGACAAAAACCCGCTCAGCGACCTTCGTCCGAGACGCGTCCAATGTGCGCCCTCAGCCAGCCTCATATGTGCCGCCCGTCCCATTGTTTACCAGCCAGCCTCCGCGGTAACATTCAAGCATACACTCGGAATATTTCGTATTATTACAGTGTTTTCGGTGCTGTTTGTGGAAAATAAGTGACCATGGGCCCCAAGAAAGCTTCTAGTGCCAACCCTACACCTCAAAGGGTAAGAATACCCATTGAAATTAAGAAAGAGATCATTGATAAGTATGAAAGTGGAGTACGTATCACCGACCTGGTCAGGTTGTACAAGAAACCAAAATCAACCATCGCTTCTATTGTGGGCAAGAAAACGGCAATCAAGGAAGCTGTTGTTGCCAAAGGTTTAACTGTGTTTTCGAAACAAAGATCGCAAGTGATGGAAGATGTTGAGAGACTCTTATTGGTGTGGATAAATGAAAAACAGCTAGCAGGAGATAGCGTCTCTCAAGCGATCATATGTGAAAAGGCTAGGAAGTTGCATGACGATTTAATTAAAAAAATGCCTGCAACTAGTGATGATGTGAGTGAATTTAAGGCCAGCAAAGGTTGGTTTGAGAGATTTAAGAAGCGTAGTGGCATCCATAGTGTGATACGGCATGGTGAGGCTGCCAGTTCGGACCACAAAGCGGCTGAAAAATATGTGCATGAATTCAAGGAGTACATAGAAACTGAAGGACTGGAACCTGAACAGGTGTTTAATTGTGATGAAACAGGCCTGTTCTGGAAGAAAATGCCAAGCAGGACCTACATTACTCAGGAGGAAAAGGCACTCCCAGGACATAAGCCTATGAAAGACAGGCTTACTTTGTTGATGTGTGCCAATGCTAGTGGTGATTGCAAAGTTAAGCCTTTATTAGTGTATCACTCTGAAACTCCCAGAGCGTTCAGGCAAAAGAATGTCCTCAAGGATAATTTGTGTGTGCTGTGGAGGGCAAACAGTAAGGCATGGGTCACTAGGGAATTTTTCTATAACTGGTTACACCATGCATTTGCCCCCAATGTGAAAGATTACCTAACTGAAAAGAAATTAGACCTTAAGTGCCTCCTGGTGTTAGACAATGCCCCTGGTCATCCTACAGACGTGGCAGAGCGACTTTATGGGGACATGAGCTTCATTAAGGTGAAGTTTTTGCCTCCTAATACCACTCCTCTCCTGCAGCCCATGGACCAGCAGGTCATTTCCAACTTCAAGAAACTGTACACAAAAGCTCTGTTTCAAAAGTGCTTTGAAGTGACCACAGACACTGGATTGACTCTAAAAGAGTTTTGGAAGGATCACTTTAATATCCTCAGTTGTGTAAACCTTATAGGTAAGGCTTGGGAGGGAGTGACTAAGAGAACCTTGAACTCTGCTTGGAAGAAACTGTGGCCAGAATGTGTAGACAAAAGGGATTTTGAAGGGTTTGAGGCTAACCCTGAGAGGAGTAGTATACCAGTTGAGGAATCAATTGTGGAATTGGGGAAGTCCTTGGGGTTGGAGGTTAGTGGGGAGGATGTGGAAGAGTTGGTGGAGGAGGACAATGAAGAACTAACCACTGATGAGCTGATAGATCAACTTCAAGAGCAAGAGGCCAGACCTGGGGAAACTGGTTCAAAGGAGGGGAGAGAGAAATTGAAGGAATTGCCTACTTCAAAGATTAAGGAAATGTGTGCAAAATGGCTTGAAGTGCAAACCTTTTTTGATGAAAATCACCCTCACACAGCTATTGCAAGCCGTGCTGGTGACTGTTACAATGACACTGTTGTGAACCACTTTAGACAAATCATAAAGGAACGAGAGGTACAGGCCACTATGGACAGATATGTTGTGCGAAAGAAGTCCAGTGACTCTGAAGCTGGTCCTAGTGGCATTAAAAGAAGAAGGGAAGTAACCCCAGAAAAGGACTTGCTACCTCAAGTCCTAATGGAAGGGGATTCCCCTTCTAAACACTAACACTCTCTCTCCCCTCCTCCCATCCCATCAATCATCACCAGATCTTCAATAAAAGTAAGTGTCATGTAATTGTGCATGCCTTTTTCAGTTTGTGTGTACTAAAATTAACATTTTTTTGTGGTAAAAAAAATTTTTTTTCATACTTTTGGGTGTCTTGCACGGATTAATTTTATTTCCATTATTTCTTATGGGGAAAATTAATTCGCATAGCGAACATTTCGCATAACGACCAGCCCTCTTGCACGGATTAAGTTCGCTATGCGGGGGTCCACTGTACAATGTTCTCTTGTAGTGTCCATGGCACACCTGCTTTTCACTGGGTTCACTGTATATCTTCTTGCAATTTTTCTATCTTCTACTGACATGAATTTTCATGCTTATTTGGGTATCATCCACAAATGATACAAAACTGTAATGAGTGCTTTTATCCATGTTCACTATGAGGCTAAGAACTGCTAATGCTCGATTTACATCATTACTGGTTATACTTCAGTCTGGGCTTCTGTACATGGCTTCCAGTTTGTCTCTAAAATGAAGTCTATTATTTTCTCATGATATACTCTTGTTCCCTCCTCCTCATTGCTCTGTATAATTCTCCTATTACAAATTACTAAACTTGTTAACGCTTTCACTGTTCCTCACGTAGATCTACATTATAGACACCAGGGTAAATCGCACAGATCTACATTTTGACCTCAACTCCCGCAGATAAGCTGTGAGCAGTAAATTTTGGCTTAGATATGAGAGAATGGGTCTGTGCAGTGAAGTGCACACAGAATAAAAAAAAAAACAATCCTGCCACGGTGCACGATGAGAAAAGTAAAATGCTGAACTTGTGTTTGGTATAAAATAACAACTTTGAGGTATTTACTAGGATGGCTTTCATGGTTTTACTGGCCGTTTCTTGGTACCACTTGATAGAATGGAAGATATACTATTGAAATGGCTGGTTTCAGGATTGGTAGTAGTTTGGTTATCCACACCATAACTTTAAAGGCAATCAAAATTCAGCATTGACTAAACTATTCATTAATGTACAGTTAGACAGTCGATTAAAACGGTAGTTAGGGTCCTGAAAATGCAGTGTTAGATGAATCCGTATGGGAAAATTGGGTTACATTCCCACAATCCCCAAAAAAGCCAAACAACTTTATTTTTAGGTCTCCAAATCTTATGCAAATAAAAATGATAATGCAGTTGATGTTCATTGTTGTTATGTATGTTTTTTCTGCTGTTCAAGGCTACAAATGCAACAGAAATAATATTTCTTACCTTAAATTGTGGCTGCTGGTGTTTGTTGATGGCTGTGAAGGAGGGAGTGGAGAGGCATGCTGAGGCCCATCTCGGCTGAGGTGGATGGTAGCCCAGTCAGTCAGTCAGTCAGTCCAGTCAAGTGAGTTAGTAGGTCAGTCAGTCATGTCAGTACAGTCATTCAATTCAGTAGGTCACTCATTCAAGTCAGTCATTCAGTAAAGTCAGTAAATCAGGTCAGTCAGTAAGTTATTCAGTAAATTGGTCAAGTCATTCAGGAAATCAGTAAATCAGGTCAGTCAGTAAGTCAGTCATTCAGTAAATCAGACAACAGCCCAGGTTTCTCACTGCACATGCCCATATATTTGCTTCACTCTTTTAAATCATACAAACCAACACTTCATTAAGGCCAAAAAATTTCCAAGACTGTAGGCATACTATCGAAGATACGGTACTATGTTCCACAGTCAGCCCTCCTGGCCCTATATCACTCACTTATTTGCCCCTATCTCACCTATGGAATTTGTGCATGGGGCTCAACAACAATAAACTATCTCAGACCATTAATTACCCAACAAAAGGGTGCAGTCAGAATGATAACAAATTCCCACTACAGGCAGCACACTCCACCAATATTCACAACTCTAAACCTATTCACCATTCAAAACATCCATACTTATTACTGCACCTACTACATTCATAGAACACTTAATTCTGATATAAACCCTCCCCTCAAACGTCTCCTTACCAACCTCAACAGAACACACGACCATAACACAAGGCACAGATCACTCTTTGATGTTCCTCGAGTCCATCTCAAGCTATGCAAAAACTCAATGCACATAAAAGGCCCTAAAATCTGGAATTCATTACCTGTGAATATAAAAGAAACACTGTCTGTTTATAAATTCAAGTCTCTTCTCAAAAATCACTTACTCACCCACAACTAAATAAATACTGAATAATTGTATCTCATAAAGGTCTAACCTGTGACCCAGTCAAACTTTATTTTTTAATTACATTACCT